ATATGCTAAGACATTAAGAATGATACAAAAATAAAAGATTGCAAATAGATGCTAAAAAGTAAAAACATAGTATTGCCAAAGGGAAATTATTATATGTTTCAAAAGATATTTACAAAGGTACGATAAAATGGCCTCGAAGTAAGCAAGAAAGAAAATATACAAGGGAAACCTAAAAAGAACTAAGGCACCTATGCCTAATCTTCACCGAGGCTCGACTCAGCACCGGAACCTTCGGAACGGTCGGAGCCTTCGGGACCTTCGGGCTCATAAATTCCTTGGCCTAGGCCTTAAGCCTATTTGATTCTTCGATCTCAACCGACAGGTCAAAACCTGGGGTATGAATCTCCTCGAGGGTCTCCCTCCAGGATAGCCACTTTACATACTCGGTCTTCGTCTTTAAGCGAGCCTTGGCTATCACCACATCAGCTTTATACTATGCCAGCATTTCCTTGACTTTGGAGGAATCGATCAAAGTTGGCTCCAACTTTGAATCCACACATTGTATTCTTGGCCGAGGGCATCCCATTCTGTGACGGCTAAGTTCTGTTGTGCCTGGAGTTCATTATTTAGCCGAGACCACTTTTCGGCCTTGTCATTTTCCACCCGGAGTTGATCCGTGACCGATGCCAGCTCCTCTTTTGTAGCCTCTTTTTCCGAAGCCAGCAGGTCCATCTTGCCCCTCAAGACCGTGGCCTTGACCTCATCCATCTCGGCCCGAAGCTGGTCAGTCAAGTCTATCTTCTCTTGGACCTGAAAAGTTGCGTCATTAGTCATCACGAGTAGTTTCTCGTTTTTAGCCTAAAAGATCCTTACCTTCTCAACCAGATCGGCATTCTCCCGTTTCATAGACGAGGCCTCCTTCTATGCCTTTTCCAGCTAGTAACGGAGAGTTGGGAGATCCTTGAGAGCCTCATCTTGTTGTTCACTAAGAGCCATATACATGTCCTTCTTCTGGACCTGCTCTTTGAGCTCGAACTCGAGATGGCTGATTTCCAAGCGAGACCAAAGGAAGCTTTCATGATGAAGCACCGTAACCTGAAAAACAATGATGTCATTAGGACATTCTAAAACTAAACGAAATTTGCAAAGGATACAAAGGGTAGACGTCTTAACCAGTTTAGTGCATGTTGCATCTCGATGAGGAGGCTCGATGTGCCTATTTCATTCATCTTCATATGGTCCTCCCCGGTCACCAGGCAACGAAGGTAGCTGGCCATACCTACCGGAGCCGACAACGCCCGAGCGTCTACTAGGATAATAAGTACGACTGTTCTCTTACGGTCGAGATCCACACTCGGGGCAAGGAACTACCTCACTAGCTTCGGGCTCGAGCTAGACTCACCCGCTCCTGATGGCACGTCCTTTATTGGGACCTCCAGATGTCCAAGCTCAGAGTAGTCCTCCAACGCGCTCTTGTCCATGTCGTCGAAGAACATGTTCAGGGCATCATCTGGACCCGGTGTCGTCTTGTTTAATTTCTCTTTGTCGGCTTGAGCCTCTTCGAACATGGACTCCATGTGGGACAGCGTCTCCTCTATGTCAATGACACCAGCTACCTCCTTCGGGCAGGAGTGACTTCTCGGGAGGCCGTGGCCTCTGACCCTCCTTCTAGTTCCTGAGCTAGAGGAGGATCGGCCTCCTCTTGGCTATATTTTTCGCTTTCCGCCTGCTCCCCCTCATCGATGGTCGACTCGTGAGCGATGAACTCAAGGTCGTCATCCTCGGGGTGAGCCGGAAGAGGCAATCGAGGTCCAATACCCTAGCTTTGGTGCTCTTTTTGTTACTTTTCTGGACTCGGACAACTACTCTTTTCTTCTTCACCTCGGCATCGGGGGAGCCCGAGGATTTCCTCTTTTTCTTCATTTTCTCCTCTTTTGCGGTAGCTCCGGGCTATCCCGAACCGGAGGGTTCAGCGAGCGAGGATGGGGCCTCGTCTTCATCCAACGGCCTAAGCTTGGTGATCTTGGGAAAACCTGTGAGAAGGAAAGAGACATGGCAAAAATACAAGTCAAGTATGTGAATATAAACATTTGGGAGGAAGTCTCACCATGGGAACGGGCCTCCCACTTATCCTTCGAGAACTTGCGCCAGTCGCGCTCGAAGTAAGATATTTGTTTATAGATCGTCTTGATCCACTCCTTGAAGCAGGGGACTGCGTTAGGAACCCAGACAACTGCTGCACAATGGTAAGCATGGGCGATTAGAGAAGAACAAAAGAAAATGCCAAGTACTCATGAAGGAAAAGACTTATGGGATGAGTTCCACTTTTTAGGGAACGGTAGAAATTCGGAGGGAATGAGGTCTTTGGTTTTAACCCAAACGAACCTTCCACGCCAACCTCGATCACGATCTTCATCGATGCTCGAGAATGGAGCTTTACTTACTCGTAGAACGAGCTTAATCAACCCCCTCGGAAGATTCAGGGACTATAGAGATGATGAAAATGGTCGAGGGTGAACCGGGGTGCTTCGGTGTTGTTTACAAAGTGGCGAAGGAGAATTATGATCCTCCAAAAGGACGGATGAATCTGCCCAAGACAGACCTCGTACCTTTTGCAGAAGTCGAGGATTATAGGTTCCACCGGGCCGGTTGTGAAGGGGTAAAATAAACACTTAGGTACCACTCCACGCGATTGGTGATGTCTTCGGCGGGCCCGGGAACAACCACCTCCTTGCCTTCCTAGTTACATTCCATCCGAACTGTGGGGAGTGTATCCTCGGTAATGGAGCATATATATCTCCATACTCCTTTGCCTCGGTCCTACTGACTGGAGGCCTTCTCGACTTTGAAGTCGTTTTCGATAGAGTATCATTCGTGAATAAAACTCTTCAAGGGAGGCTCCGAGACCACCTCAGGAATGGACACCTCGGCCTCCGTGGCCGGGTTGAAAGTTGAAGGGGTTTAAGTTTTGGAAGTTTTTGCCATCGGAATCTGAAAAATATGAAGGTTTGGAGATAATAATGAAGATTTGAAGATGGAGATGAAGATATGAAGGTCTGGGTTGAAGTTTCAAAGAAGAGGTATGAAGATTTGAAGATGAAGATATAAAGATCCAAGAAGCAATATATGAAGATTTGAAGAGGATAGAGTTAAGTGGGGAATTCGAGGGTAAGTCAAAGAAGCTCTGGAATCGGAAAGTGAAAAAATAAAAAAGGGATTGGAGTTTTTATAGAGGAAAGCTAATCAGTGCGTGACATTTTGCATTCGAGGACAATAAGCCGGCGGCTGACATGTGTCCGAAGTCAGAGCGATGCAACTCATGGGATGTTCTGTTGACACGTCAACTCAGTTGTAACTTACAAAAGAAGGAACCGGGTTTAACTTATCGCTTCCCTTCGCTTAGATAAATCTACTCTCTGGAAAATGAGGGGACTATCTATGTACGGGTAAAATCGAGGGTAAATTTTTCCCTGGTTCCCCGATGACAGAACGAAGGAGAAGCACGGATCTACATGATTGTAATCGAGGACAGAAATCACTCGTATCGAGTCCGGGAGAAATGAATGATGAATCTAAGACCGGACACGTTAAAACAACGCACTCCGGATTGAGTACGACTTCTGGACCTCGAAGACGCGGTGAACGGTCATGCATGATGGATAGGGGGCCGTAATATTCTCCCTCAATCGCATATTACGGCGCGAATCCCGTTCAATATCAATTATGGATCAACAATTACCGGGAAAAGAAGAATTTTATCTTTTTTTAGACTTATACAAGGGCTGAAATTCTCCTACTATAAAGGGGAAGTTTTTCTTTAGTCTGGCACATTGTAACACGCAATTCGAAACACTAAAAGTTTACTTTTGTCTTCTAGCTACTGTTCAAGGCATTATCCACTTGTTCTTTTATTCACTCACGATCGAGCATGCACCGAGGATCCAATCGAGGACAAGTTCCATTGTCTAATCTGAGATGAGACTTGGTCATTGCATTGTGATTGGTTTGATTATTTATTTCGTCTTTAATTAGTCTATCTTTTATTCTTAATTGTTCGTATTAAATTAAACCATGTATCCTTTAAACCGTGTACGAATTTAATTGTTAGTCATCTCTGGGGTAAACAGATTGGACTTAATAGTTTATTGAATTCTTAAAATGTGTCATGGAAACAGTCCGGTGATAATTTTCTGTAGGAAATTATGAAATTGAATGAAAATGGTGAAGGGTGTGCCAGTTTTGTGGATCGGATGATGACGGTTTTGCAGGTTTTTTTGGAGGGGTGGGGGGGGGGGGGGGTATGCGGGTGGTTATTGTCAAATTAGTCTAGGGGAAAAAGAAGAAAAAAAGTGAAAAAACATGCAAATAACGCATCGGCATGTTTATACATGACAAAGATAAAATCTAGACCTAAACAACAGACGACTCATATAGGAACTATAAATAGAGGGAGAGAGGAGGATAGAGATAAGAAGAAAAACAAAAGGGCAACTGAAGGGCAGTAAAAAGAAGAAACTTAATAACATATACTCCGAGTCACTCTTTATGTTTTCTAATTAACATTAATTGTTATATTTTTTTTGATTTATTTTTTAAAAAACGATATATTTAAATGCAGAAATTTGATACCTCCATTCACAATGATTCTTATTTGGAGTTCTCTTTTTCACTTTAATCTCTATCAATCAAGGGGCAATTTAGTACAAAATTTTCATGAATATTTAATAATAAAGTGTCTAATTATAATAAGCGCTTGACACCACACACAAAAGGTGCTTCTATGAAGCCCTTGTTTGAATAAGAGATTCTAGATTCATTTCACAATAAGAAACTCCTTATTTGGTATAACATCTATTTTTGCAACAAAGAATTGTCATGGCATCTAGCGACATGTATATTTACAATAATTGTATATTTATCATTATATTACCAGGTAGAAAAATAATTCTTCTAGTTTATAGTGACACGTAATTTAATTAAAAATCAAAATGTTTGATAAAAGTGCGCAAGGGTACATAAGACAAGATAACTAAATATGCTTCTTCGATGGACTACTAGGATTCTCATATCCATATTCTATACAGAAGAGAGGTACATTTTGCCAATGCATCTCTTTTAGTCCTTTATTTTTCAATACATATTAATTAATAAGAGAACATCGAAGGTTCAAGTAGATATCATCGGTCAAAACGTCTCTAGAAATCAAACTATATGATTAAACTCTATAACAATTTGACCTTTGATTATCTCCCTCAGGACCATCTCTTAGTTCTCTCTTTTGGATCATCCCAAAAGAAAAAGAGATTACATTGGATAATATCTTCTCTGTTGGGTCAGATCTATATGGATGGAGCTTGGTGCCTTTATTATATTATTCTAGCTGTATATTTCCAAACCTGAAATATAAGAATCACTTTGTTAAGCAAACCATATGCACATAAAAAGTAACAGCAAAATAGAGAATGAAAAATGCCAAAGTTTTATAGAGATATTTACATGTGTCTGGATTAATACAAATCAGCTAGAATAGATAATTGGCTCGCATATACAAAAACTCCAATTCCTGAGGACAAAATAAGAAGATCTTAATTTGTATATTGTAATATAAAAAGAACAAAATGACAAAAATAAATATGTATTTCTCTGTTTTTCTTTGAGGGAGAGGATAAGATAAGAATATATACCATCATGGTGATTCACTGATTCAATTGAGTTAAAAGAATAAAAGGAAAAAGAAAACCATGCTATTATGAGAATGATTTTCTTTTTCTTGATGCCAACCATTATTATGATCGACTTTCTTCTTGCATTATTGCTTAAGTTTTTTGCTTGTGGTGAGGAACGAGAGTTAATAGGACTTCGTGATCTTTATATAGTGGAGGAATTTAATTATAAGATATCATCTTCTTGATTTAGTATCTTAATTCCATCTAAATTTACTCAAATTTAGCGAATTATATTTCCTTTATTCGATTAAGATTACTAAGAGAGTAAGTAGTATCTTTCTCCAAATGGATATATTTTAATTGTTAGTCTGAAGGCCTACTACGTATTGCTTACGTAACAGTTGACTCATACAAGTAATCACTTTTGTTCCCTAAGAAGTTGACCACTTTTACAAAATTAGACCAATGGTCTAATATTTGAATGAGATAACATGTTCTGTAGTTAAAATTTAAAATCTGATTTTCAAATCATGGATGTTATCTTAAATAATGGTCAATTTCTAAATACAAGGCCACAAAAGTATCCACGCGGTGTAAGTATAGCTTAGAGTCTTTGGTCGGGGCATTTGCATATCTAGCCATTTTAGGGGCCACTATTGAAGTTTTACTCGTATTGAACAAAAATTGCAAAGTGTACCCGCTTGAATCCGAAGTAGTTCAATCTCTTCAATGCAACTTTAGAAATCAAATCTGAAGTCCTCCAATCTTTCGACTGCAACTTCAGAAATTCAAGTCTTAATTAGTTCAAGCTCTTCAAAGCAACTTCAGATTTCAAATATGAAGTTCTTTGATATTTCAATTGCAACTTTAGAAGTTCGAATCTTTAGTAATTCAATTTTCGAATGCAACGTCAGATTCAAAATCAAATTTAAAATCTGAAGTTCTGAAACATAAACTTGTTCGTCGAATTTCAACAATCCAACACACGATTCAACACCCAAATCTACTCCAAAAAAGCTCAATTTTGAAACATAACTTTCAAATATTATAACAAACAAATCACAATCTTTAAATTGTTAAAACAATAAAAAATTTAACAAACCCATTTTTAAACTAAGAAGAAAAAACCCTAAACACAAATGAAGAAGAAAGCATGAGTGAAGAAGAAGAGAAAAATGTATGTATATAAAATTTCCAAATAATTAGGTATCAGTTAAACGTTTTTTTTTGAAAAAGTGGATACAGGTTCAATTGGTGGCCCAAAACTAGGCGCCACATGAAATTTTTTTTGATATAAAAAATGCAGACAACCCTCATGGTTTGTCCATGAAATAGAACTTCAGGGAAAAAATATATGGTAGAAAATTATTTGCGCCTGGTTACACTAATCAATGAATGCAAGATTTATTTCTTTTGTATGTGTATGTGTGTGTATATATATATTTCACTTAATGATACGATCCTAGATAGCCTGGGCAAAGCAGAGAGATGGCCCTGAATTATCTACTGGACCGTTGACTCGCTCCAAGTCCAAGAACGCCCGAGGGATGCGCGCTGAGGAGCTGCATGATCTTCAACAATTGATTAGAAGATTTTTGGAGAGTCACTCGGAGGATTCATGCAAAGGATACTATGCTTGGAGTCTTGAAAATTGAAGAATCAAGTCTCCAAGTCAAACCGTGTGACATGGTTTCACCAATCGTTGGCTACGGTTCAAGAGGGACTTGAAGAGCTAAAGAAAATAAGCTTATTTAATTCATCACGGTTCAGCTGTGCGTTACGGTTGGGGTCACGGTTGAGGCTACGGTTTGCCTGGCAAGTCTTTTTGGGAAATTAACTTTGAAACCTTTCCTATTTTACCCATTGGGTATTTGTAACATCCTAGAGTTATTTCATTAGGAATTTAGCATATTTTGACATAAGAAAACTCTTGAGAGAAATTTGGATCTTCTTGGTTCAAGTTCGACTTTGGATTACCTGTTTCCAAGACTTGGGTTCTTGAGGGTAATCTTCTCCTTTATTTATATCTAGGGTTCTAATTTGTCTTTCTTAGGAGGCGATCAGACAGATTTTCTGTTGTTGCTTGAGACGTTCACTTAGGGTCCAAGATTTTCTTCTATATTTCCTTATTCAAGCTACTTTTGATTATCTTAACGAAACATATCATAATTTTGCTTTAATTATTGTTATTTTCATATTTTGTTGTTTTGTTTATCTCGGATCATATCAATTGGTATGGGAGCAAAGGCTCGGGTATTGTTCTAACAAACCTACGTTTCTCGGTCTTGAGATCAAGATCCGAATTAGTAAAAAACAATTATAGTTCTTATTTTCGACTAACCCTAATCGAGTTTCTTACAAAAACAAAACAAAAAATAACAATAAAAAAATAAAAAAAATTATTATTTAAGTGTTTTATTGATTATTGAGGAAAGACTACTTTTCGGTAAGAAAGATTCATTGGGGATTCTTGATAAGAACGAACTAGTGCTAGTTCGTATTAAATCGTTCTTAATAGTTGAAATTGACTATTTCTTTCGTGCCAATTCTTTTGTGCTTTCTCGTTATTTTCGTTAATACTTTTTTTTAGCTCCTGTCCTTAGTTTTTAAAAGTCGGTCCTTGATTACATAAACTCCACTCTTAAATTACTTTCAAGAAAACTCATTCTTTGATAGGTGATTTGTGAGTTGAGCTCGAACTTTGAAGATTTCCAAGGAGTGAGGCAGAAAATATATACGAGTGAAACGTGAGAATTATAATTGTGAGAAAATATCTGGCATTGAGGATAGTACCACTGGAACTAAAGCACCAGCTCAGGCTGAAGGAACTAATAAGATGTTGCAAACTATGATACAACATATACAACACCTGACTTTGCAGGTAGAAAACTTGCAGCAGGCTAATCAGACACTACCAGAAGCTCCAGCACCTGCAATACATCAAGGTCCACCGCAAAATGTGATGAGGGATCCCCCACAAGTTAGGTACCTCCATAATATGGCCCATATGAAGAATTTTAAGATGAAGATTTTGAGAACAATATTGATTATGGTCATCAAGGCTTGACAGGGGGTAGGAGAGGAGCTAGGCATGGCAGACGGTTTGGGATGCGACATGGAATCAAGCCAACGAAATGAAGGAGTTGATAGAAACTTGGATAGCATTAATATGAAGATTCCTTCCTTTGAGGGAACAACTGCAGCGGATGCCTACTTGGAGTGGGAAGCAAAGGTGGAAAGGGTTTGCAAATCTCATAGCTACTCTGAGGAGAAGAAAGTTCAAATGGCGGTTACTGAATTCGAGGTATATGCCTTTGCTTGGCTTGAAAGGACTGAGCTTGATCATAGAAGGCTTGGTGATAGACCAATTCAGACTTGGGAAGACTTGAAGAGAGAAAGGAGGGGTAAATTTGTACCTTCAAATTACCATAGAGAGATCATTAAGAAGTTTCACAGCTTGGTGCAAGGCCACAAAAGTATTGAAGAGTATTACAATACCATGGAGGTGCTTAGGATGAAGGCCAACCTAGATGAGGCCGAGGAAACCATTATGACTCGATTTCACACTGGTTTGAACAAGGACATTGCTAATCAGATTGAACTTTCTAGGGATTGTCATTCTGTAGTAGAGATGTTGCACTTGGATACTAAGGTAGAGAGGATACATAAAGATCAAAATAAGTCGTCCTCTACTAGTTGGAACAGGGATAGAACTACTTGGAGGTCTTCTTCGAGTAAGATTTAAGAGGTAAAAACTGAAGTCAAGCCATCTCAATCAGCTGAAAAGAGTAAAAATAAGGTAAGGGTTAAAGAGGGAGGAACTCTACTCAACCTAAACCTTGCAGAAATTCGAGTTCTATTATTTGTCATAAATGTCAGGGGAGAGAACATATGGAATATGAATGTCCTAACAAACAAGCTATTTTGATTAAGGAGAATGGATAATACAAATCTGATGATGGCGTGGAAGAATCTGATGGAGAGGGATCCACAGATGGTTGTCACGACCCATTTTTCCCTCCGTTGGGTATCGTGATGGCACCTAGTCTTAGGGACTAGGTAAACCTAACATTTAGTGAATATCAACAATATTAAAGAAAGTCTAATAGTCTCGATATAGAAATCTTTACAAAATTTGCAATTTCCCAAAACCGGTAGTACAAGTCGTAAGCTCTACAGAGTTTACTACAACTTCTAAATATAACTATTTGGAAAAAAGTAAAACAGTGTGAATACAAGAATAGGAAGGTGACTCCGAAGCCTGCGAACGCAGCAATAGGTTTACCTTGAGTCTCCACAGCAATGATCCGCACAGCTACTAACGAGCAAATATCTAGATCTGTACAAAAATTTATAGAAGTGTAGAATGAGCACACCATAGCGGTGCCCAGTAAGTATCAAGATTAACATCGATGGAGTAGTGACGAGGAACAGTCAAGACACCTACTAGTCTAATAAATTGAACAAGTATATGTATAGGAACAACAGTGCATGATTTCTACATGGAAACTATGCAATATGACTAACAATTAATTACAATAAGAAAGAGAAAGGGACAAGTATCAGCGAAAAACCATAATAATGACACAGAAGAGTGAGTGGAAACACAACCTAAGTCCGAAACCACATATACAACAAGGACAAATAATAGCTCAGCAACTACGACAGCTTTCACATTTGATTTCTTTGTCAACAACCTTCATGAAGTACCGAACCTCGGATTATTACACCTCACGGGTCTCAATACATGAACCCTAACACTTGGAATCATGTTCCCTCATCACACCTCATAATCGCACTGACGACTTACGTGCCAAATAGAGCCATTCTCACATGGAAGGCAAGTAAACAAGGGTGTGCGTCTATGCTCAGCAATAATAAGAAAACCTCTTATCCGATAAGGGTGCTTTGCTACGTGTATGCTTGTGCAACTGTCCTAACATAGTTCATACCAGCTAATAAGCATAAGGAAATGAATGGACAACACGTAGAATGTTTACCAGAATGTAAGCATAGAAGAACAACATCTCAGAACACTGATATAACAACAAGGGATCTCCCAGGATACCGTCCCGTAGTCCCAAACGTAAATGTACAGGGGGATCTCCCTGAATACCGTTCAGTAGTCCCAAATTAAATATGTAGTGCA